GGTCGCGGCGAATGACGTCGCAATGAACGCTTGTTGGTTCCCGCGAAATTGCGGGAGCATTTCTGGAAACGGAATGAGTAGCACGTCGTCCGATCCGATCGTACTCCTCGTGAGTCATCGTCGCTTCGACGATGAAATCATGAGATCGCCATGTGAAACGCTCCCATATCCTTTCTACGTATCAGAGAGCAAGAAGGCTTATTTTTCTTGTTTTTATTAAATTTTGTTTAATTTCATAAACGCGACATGCGGGCGGAAATCTTTTTTCTTTGCGACGGAACCAATCAAGATCGAGCGGCGTGGATCTCGTTCGTGATTCATATCGGAGGCCTCTCTGGAAGAGAGAGACTGGAGATGTGTCAAGAGTCGCCTCGCGATCTCGCCCGAGACTAATTATCGCGGCTGGACGTGAATTAAGGACGTAAACCTAAACGACGTCGCCGCCGCGGTCATAAGTGCGCGGAGCCGACGCTGACACTATCGGCGGCCCCGATCTCTCTTTCCTACGCTCCTCTCTTTTCGCTTCTCTTTACGTGCGCGAGAAACACAAGTCGGTCTCTTCACCCTCGAGCGAAGCAATCTCGAGCTCGTTATCTCGCGCGCCGCTGGAACATGCGTCGTTTTTTCGACTAATTTGCATCCGCAACTGCGTCTCTGTAAAGCGTGCGAGGAAACTGAAGTCGTCATTTTGGCATATTAATCATGATAGAAACACGTACATATGAAGAGATGATGCGTTAGATAAACTTTCATCAATAACAAGAATTTTATTGCAATATTAATTGAAATCTCTAAAATATAATAATATACGTGTATAAAGTATATAATGATATTATTTAGAGTATATAGAACTTTTGTGTGAAGAGCGTGTCAATAGTATCGTTTTTTTTTTTTTTTTTTTTTTTTTTTTAGAATTATATATCTAAATATTACTGGAAATTCTGGAGAATGTCTGAGTGAAAATTAATAATTAAAATTTTAATTATTAATTTTCATTCAGACATTAATTATTAAAATTAATAATACATAAACATAATCGCAAATAACATAAAAGACGTGAAATTATCATCGTATATCAAAGAAATACGCTAGACCATGATGTAAGAAAATATATATTAAATAAATTAAATATATATTTTCTTACATCATGCGCTAGACATTTTGGTCCACCTGAACGTCTCGGAAGAATCGTTTTAAAGAGATCGCTATCAACACTCGCATTATCCTTCATCTCGCACTCGTCTCTCGAGCAGCACTTCACGCGGTTAACGAGAATATTTTTGTCCCTTCGCGAGATTAGAATTCGCGAAATAATTTGCAGCGAAATATCATGAAGAAAGCCGGGCCCGGGGCTCTGCAAGTCGAGGTGAACACCGACGAGGAATGGCGACAGTTATTGAGTCGCACGGGCCTGATTGTCGTGGACGTGTACTCGGATTGGAGCGGACCGTGCATGGCCATGGTGAGTACCCTGAGGAAGATCAAGATAGAGGTAGGCAACGCGGTGGATTACGCGGTCGCGCGAAACGATGACATCGATGACTTGGCGAGGTTCCGCGGTCGAAGCGAGCCCGCTTGGATGTTCCTGCAGGACGGTAAGATGGTGAACCTGATGTTCGGCGCGCACTGTCCGCGTTTGCGGAAGCTGGTGATGGACGAGATAAAAAGGGTTCAGCACTTGGAGACTTCAAAGTGGCGACTGAGCGTGAGCGAGCGGGCCCCCGAGGAGGAAGTTCGATGGCAGGCGCAGGAAGCCGTCAGGTGATTGGAATGGAATTGGTTTTGCAAAGCCAGGAGCTTTTAATCTTTGATTTTAATTAATAATATATCTTGATAATTATGAGACATAGATTAGCGAGATTAAACAGTAACGTTTTGCGAGCAAACTTAAAACGACTAGGTAACTTTGTTTCGCGTATTCTAAATTTCTATCTTAACTGCCCGCGATATTTTTACTCGGGACGATCCCGCAATGTCGCCGCGAGATTAATAAAGCTTTCACGGTTGCGAAAAAAAAAAAAAAAAAAAAAAGAAAAGAACGCGAAATCGCGTGTATTCACGCAAAAATTGTCTCCGTGAAAAGGCGAGCGCTGGAGGAGAAGAAACAGGCGAGAGAAGAGGCCGAGAGGCTGGAAAGATACGAGCGATTTATGTTGTACATGGCAGTCGAGCTATGCGAGAATACGGTGCTGGTGCTTTATCCGTGGGTCTTCAAGGACGAGCGCGGCAGATCGCGGGACAAGTTGCAGAGTCCGCCGTATACGGAGCTCGTGCAGGATCTCTTCAGACAGTGCTTCGATGTGCAGGAGGAGCTGCGTATCCAGCTGAACGAGGACACGATCGAGAGGATGTTTGTCGAGAGTGGCGTCGACATCACCAAGGAATTGATAAAAGGTGCATTACAGTAAACGAGACACTCACGAGAATAGCCACTAGATCTGTGACATAATAATTGTCTCGCACTAAAATGTATTATCCTGCAATATTAATCATATTTTCTACATTTGATCGAATCCTCGTGTTATGAAACATTTTCACTTCGGAATTATATAAAAGAGAAAAAAAAGAAACGAAAAAAATTCGCGCGAACGCGATCCTTCAGGACTGACGGACGGGAAGTGCATGGCGATCAGGCTGAAAGGCAAACCGCCGCATCCGGATTGGCCGGTGCATTATCCGCACGAATGTCCGGAACGCAATTCGATGAAATCCCCGATTCGTACGATCGATGACATCGAGAATTATCTCATCAGCATCATCACGACGCAGCCGCCGCCACTTACACAAACTGGAATCGGCGGCGTGCCTCTGTCTAGACCGACGTACGACAATGTGCCTTACATTGAGAGACATGTATACGTGCACGAACCGGACCCGGAAATTGAGGGTGACATGCGGCGCGTGCATCCCGCCGCTTGGGTACCTCCTCAAGTACGATGTCAGAGAATATTAATTGAAAGTCAATTAAAATTAAATTTTAATTTTATATAATAATAAATATATATAATCATAAATAATTCCTTATACAAATTATAATTATCTACTACAAAAAAGTCGCGTTTTTCCAAAGAAAACATATTATTCTTATTGAAAATTCATTATCAATTGTGATTATATTGACAATACGATATCCGGGCTCGCACAGGCTAGAAGCAAAATTCACGCCTTCAAGACTCTGTTTCCGGCTTACTTAGAGAAGGCTCATCCTTACGAGGAGCCGATACCTCCCCCACCATTGTGTGCCTTCAAATTCGAAGCGTCGAAATTCAGTGTCGTAAGAGATGCGTATGAAATGTACCGCGACGCTATCGAACACTTTGGCGCCTTCGAGTTCGATCAACCGCCTCATGCGAGACGCCTCGCGTCCTCGCCCGAAGATTTCGAGAACAAGGTGCACTACCTTCCCTTTATTGTAATTTGACAACTCTAATCCGATAAAACACTTACTATATTAAATAATATACATAATTTTTTTCCTGCCGTAATTTAATACAATTTCGATAAAATTAATGGAGAATCAAATATATTACAACAAATAAAAATATTAATTAGAATTTATTCTGCTCATTTTGTTCCGCTAACTTATAAGACGTATAAAATTAATGGAGAATCAAATATATTATTTTTTTTTTTCTACCGTGTCATTTAACGATGCAATTCATGATAGAAAATTTGCAAAAAAATATTTATGAAAGGTGAAGTACAAAACTGGCAGCGAGGTGTTCGTAATGATAATTCGAAGGATCAACGAAGAAGTTTTCCTAGCCTTTGTCAGCATCGAGCCGTTCTTCGTGACAGAGGTTGACGAGGAAGCGCAAGGAATGTTAACGGAATATTTCCCCGAAGGAGCTGAGGATGTGATACTATTAGCGCTGGACGAACAGGAGGCACTTTATGAGGACGAAGAAGAAGAAGATTATGAAGAAGAGGAAGAAGAAGAGGAATTTGGAGAAAATAACGTTTATCCTTTTTATTGATATAAAAGGATCTAATTATTTATTCCTATAATCAAAAAATAATTCTCGCGGAAATATATATTTTCTGAAAACATATCATATATTTATAAATAATTATTAAAAATAGATCTACTTAATAGAAATATATTTTTTTTAATGGTTATATGTCTTTAGAGGAAAAAATACATTATAAAAATTGAAATTTTTTTTACTGATAATATTTATTAAAACGTGAAAACAAAAATTCATGAAAGATAAGGTTAAAAAGAATTATGAAAATTTTTGCCATATGGAATGACTCGCATTCGACAACATTTACATTCTCCGCATGTTTTGGCAGCGATCGCCAATGTGCGATTACTCGCTGTGCTTGGCACAGCGTGTTTGCGTAAGTTTGGCGAAATACTAAACCAGCTCGTGGAACTTATAAACGCAGCTATTCTGCTGCCAATTTTGATTTCGATTAAACCACGTCGAAATACTCGCGAAAGAATACATGAAAAAAAGCAGCGAAAAAATACATTATGTTCGAAACTTTACTCTCATTTTTTTTTAAATTATAATACGCTAANTTTAATTTAATTTTAATTCAATTTAATTTTAATATATATAGCGTTAATTTTTCAATCTATAATATCCCTTTTTATATATAATTTCTAATTTATCGCAATTTTTTATTTAATTTAATTCCTAGGAAGTTTTAGATTTTCGCTTAGATACAGATGTTCAGAAGAAAAAATCCCGTAATATACAATATATATTACCATTATTAATTACGATAAAATCGCTCATAAATGCCAAGAGTCGCTCTTTGCACAAAATTTGTGCGTAATTTTGCAAATTCGATTGCATGAATTATGAATAAATTTGGTTTTGCAGTGAGATAATTTTCTTTACAGTTAACCGCGCACAGAATCTTTGGGAAAAATTATTTTATATTGTTCTCTTCGTGATTCTAATTTCCAATTAATCCTACCGATAAATACTGTAGAATCATTTATTTTCTACGATGAGCAGTATTAAATTTTTTGTCGCTTTTACAGTCTTTGCTTATGAGTACTTTAAAGTGCCTTCTTTCCGAGAAGATAAAACGATAAAATCGCGACTATATTTTATTTGTAATAAAATTGCTATAACTTTACGATCAGAGCGAGAAAAAGAGGAAGATTGCTGGGATTGATCTTATCTTGTATTTTATCGCGAATGTATGATTATTATTTCATGTCTCGCGACATTTGCTTTATAATAATACTTACCTCACACATAATTATAAATTTTTATATATGTTTAATACGATTATATATCTTTTATTATTTTAGTTTATTATATATGTGTGAATATATTTCATTTTCATATTTCAGTGTATTTATTACAATATATTATAATTATTATATAGTTACTTTAAAAATCTATCTAGGCTATAAAAATCTTTTTTGATTACACTAATTCACACACTTAATGACACAGTTGATTCCATTAATATGTAAATTTTAATGATTTGCCTAATACCTAGTGATTCGTTCAAACACTAACACGAAAATAAGATTTAATTAAATAAATTTCTAATTGCAAAGTAATTTTATATATTAATTCAATCTTTAATCGAATTATTTAATTAAATTCATAATTAGCAAAATAATTCTGTCCTTCATGATATATCTTTTTCTTGAATCTTTACATATCTAACGTAATTACTATGTACAAGATATCTCGGGAGTTATGAGAAATGTCAAATGGAAACATCGCGACGTAACGCGACGGCATAAATCTTGCCAATGTCAAGCTCGACAAGTTGGCCGAGAAAGAACGCGTAAAACAGTGATTCTTGTTCTTACTTTTTTTTCTTTTATTCGCCATCGTGGGATTGCCACGGTACTTGCCGCGGGCGGTCAATTGCTTAAATACCGCTAATTATTGCACAAGCATTACATAAGTAAATAGCTGGATCTAGCAGGTGAGGGAGAAGAGGGTAGGAGGAAGCAGCGGAGAAGGCAATAAAAAAGACGCAAATTTCCGCCACCGAGAGCAATTCACATCCATCACGCGTGTTACGTGCGATTAACAATCCTCTCGTCTCCTCGTTCCTTCTCTCTCTTTCTCTCTTTATGACTATATCCTTCTTCAGTTCCGTTCGAATAACACTTGAAATCTCATTTTATTTTGTTTGTAGGAAAACATTCGTGAAATAAGTAATGTTTAGTTTGACGGGAAAAATATTTATATATATAATAATTATTATTTTATTTTTATATTTTATATGATTGCAATTTTATTTATATTACAGTTGGCACATAAACCAAGCTTATTAGAAAAAGAAAAAAGAAATATTTTATACATAAATTATTATAAAAACGTATTAGATATATAAGAAGGAAATAATTATTATATTATTAATTAATATTTAATAAATAGAGAAAATATTATATTTTACTATAATAAAGCGTACAAAATGTCGAAACAAGCCTAAATTGGAGCTGGAAAGGGCGAGGAGGATCGAAAAGTACGGCCTTGGCCTGCTTGAAGAATGCTTTCTCGATGGAACATCTCTTCTTTGTTCGGTGACGAAATTATCGTCGTAATTGTTCACCCGTCACCGAGTAAATAATTCATAAGATAATCGTGATTGATTCGATGACTTGAACTACGCGCCCAGTTCGAAATTTGAACAATAATCGACGACTTGAGGTGAAAGTACACGAATGATGAGGCGAATACTGCGGCATATTGTGCCAACAGACATAATCGTCGGCCTAATCGTCACGAATAATTTGATATTTCATATTTTCCTGCTTTTTTGTTAAAGACGCTGTAAAAATTCTAATTGAGGTCACTAGCTTTGAAATACTTTGTGCATCGGAAATTTTATATATTTTGTGATGATGAGATTATAAAATCGACGAGAGAAATCCAATTATATTTCACGAATTTTAAAAATTCGAAAATACTTGTGTTTTTTAAATATCAGAATAAATGAACTAATAGTTGTTTAATATCAAATATTAAAAACTTGCAATTACGAGAATTTTTCATAAGGAAAAATACGTTTTTTTCCTATTTCTCTTATCCGGGAAGACATATTTAGTGACTGCGCGACACGCTGTACACTCGAACGTATACAGGAATATATAAATGCACGCCCAACTCGTTGTCGCCGTGCTTCCTTTTCACTTTCCGTTTGCCGCTTATCGTTTTCTTTCCGGAACGCTCGTCGCAAATAAGAGCCGTCGTCGTCGTCCGGAATTAATGTCGTCGAGACGCCCGACCCTGATTCATCGACGCCTACTAGCTGTCTACACTGTCGATCTTCCTGGCAACAGGATCTGTCGCGTAAAATTCTCGGTTCTTGGAATACATACGGAAAATGTTTCTACTCAGGTGTTTTTTTTTTAATTTTTAAATAAATAATAAATTAATTAGGTAAATATATCATATAAAAGTATTATAAATAAATACAATTTACATTATAAATAATATATGAATATTCTATAAAAATTATTTAGTAAATTAATTATAAAGCGAGAATTAATTTTTATTTATTATGTACATATATATTTTTGTCTCATGCATATATTTATTACATATTGTTTTTCCGGATTTTGCCATCCATCACACCATCGTTGATCGCTGACCACTACAGAATTCGCTTGCGTTCCAACTTCGTCGGAATTTTGTCCTAAAAGAGAAAAAAGAAAACACCGATCAGTACGTTATTTCTCACACATGTAAGATTCCTTGATCTCTTTATCGGATGCAATTTGTCGAAATTATCCTTCCGAGAATCCTTTAGAAATTTTTCTATTATGACGTTTTTGAAAGAAAGATTTTCACCAACGGAAAAGTTTGTGAAAAATGATCGTCACGTTCAACTTTCTCTTTTATATATAAATGTTATCTACAAAAAAAGTTACGGATGTATACGTGACGTTCTGACACATGTGCGGTTCGAGGAATGCATCACCAAATACAATTTCACTTTTCGAACGAATTATATATCGTTCCGGGAACTTGAGTAAATTAAATTTCTAAAAAAATTAAATGTAGTTGTCACACAAAGTAAATAGATGAACGAAATCTCTGTTAAATAAAGAACAATTTTCAGTTGAAATATATGATAGAATATAAGTGAGCATAAACTCGTTGCATTTCGAAATTGCTTATCACCATACCCAGTGATTCTATAGAATTACTATCAATTTCAGAAAAAAAACATTAATCAATTGCCATCCTCTGCGAAAATTATTTCTAAAATTACAATTCCGGTTAGAACGAATATTCGTACAAGGTGATACTTGCTTACTAATGCAAATCGTTTCACCATGTTTTGGCATGTTCAGCGATCTCGTCGGTCGTTTTATGCATACTTACAAAAGGGAACACTTGTCACCCCGTATTTCCATAACATCCCCCACTGTCTCGCTCCACTCACATTGGCGTTCTCGCTCTTAGATCGGATCGATCCCAGTCGCAAATAGCGACGACGAATCGATCTCGTCATTATTCCATGGCATCGTGGCCGGCCTCTACCCGATCCTACCACGATGTTGGTCCTGTCCAGCTTCCAATGGTCGACGTTCTATCCCTCCTCGGGATATCCTGCGACACATCCCTCCGAGTTCGAAGGTCACGGTAACAATCACCGCTATCCGGCGTCCCCCTGAAGAGGGCCCCGTTCGTTTCGATCCCCTGGAGTAGGGAGGCTATATATAGCATCGCCGCCGACGCGCTCTCCTTCAGTATTCTCGCGCGCGTCCATCTCGAAGGTGCACGGTCTGTCGCTGCTGCGCAGTCTACCACTTTGGGATTCCTTCGAGTGCTTATCAAAAAAAAAGATTTCTTCGACGCATTCCGATCGGATGCGTGAAGATAAGCGCGAGATTCTAGAGGTAAATATATAAAAGTATTATAAATAAATACAATTTACATTATAAATAATATATGAATATTCTATAAAAATTATTTAGTAAATTAATTATAAAGCGAGAATTAATTTTTATTTATTATGTACATATATATTTTTGTCTCATGCATATATTTATTACATATTGTTTTTCCGGATTTTGCCATCCATCACACCATCGTTGATCGCTGACCACTACAGAATTCGCTTGCGTTCCAACTTCGTCGGAATTTTGTCCTAAAAGAGAAAAAAGAAAACACCGATCAGTACGTTATTTCTCACACATGTAAGATTCCTTGATCTCTTTATCGGATGCAATTTGTCGAAATTATCCTTCCGAGAATCCTTTAGAAATTTTTCTATTATGACGTTTTTGAAAGAAAGATTTTCACCAACGGAAAAGTTTGTGAAAAATGATCGTCACGTTCAACTTTCTCTTTTATATATAAATGTTATCTACAAAAAAAGTTACGGATGTATACGTGACGTTCTGACACATGTGCGGTTCGAGGAATGCATCACCAAATACAATTTCACTTTTCGAACGAATTATATATCGTTCCGGGAACTTGAGTAAATTAAATTTCTAAAAAAATTAAATGTAGTTGTCACACAAAGTAAATAGATGAACGAAATCTCTGTTAAATAAAGAACAATTTTCAGTTGAAATATATGATAGAATATAAGTGAGCATAAACTCGTTGCATTTCGAAATTGCTTATCACCATACCCAGTGATTCTATAGAATTACTATCAATTTCAGAAAAAAAACATTAATCAATTGCCATCCTCTGCGAAAATTATTTCTAAAATTACAATTCCGGTTAGAACGAATATTCGTACAAGGTGATACTTGCTTACTAATGCAAATCGTTTCACCATGTTTTGGCATGTTCAGCGATCTCGTCGGTCGTTTTATGCATACTTACAAAAGGGAACACTTGTCACCCCGTATTTCCATAACATCCCCCACTGTCTCGCTCCACTCACATTGGCGTTCTCGCTCTTAGATCGGATCGATCCCAGTCGCAAATAGCGACGACGAATCGATCTCGTCATTATTCCATGGCATCGTGGCCGGCCTCTACCCGATCCTACCACGATGTTGGTCCTGTCCAGCTTCCAATGGTCGACGTTCTATCCCTCCTCGGGATATCCTGCGACACATCCCTCCGAGTTCGAAGGTCACGGTAACAATCACCGCTATCCGGCGTCCCCCTGAAGAGGGCCCCGTTCGTTTCGATCCCCTGGAGTAGGGAGGCTATATATAGCATCGCCGCCGACGCGCTCTCCTTCAGTATTCTCGCGCGCGTCCATCTCGAAGGTGCACGGTCTGTCGCTGCTGCGCAGTCTACCACTTTGGGATTCCTTCGAGTGCTTATCAAAAAAAAGATTTCTTCGACGCATTCCGATCGGATGCGTGAAGATAAGCGCGAGATTCTAGAACGCGATTACTAATTTTCGCTTGCTCTCTTTCGAACGTTCACAAACGAAAATCTTCCGAAAAGAATTATTTTATCGGATGCATTTCGTTCGATATAAATGAAAACAAGAGGCTGGATATGGGTCTTTAGCATCTGATGACTTTACGATTTTCCGCCTTGAAGGTAGAATCCGTTTGACAAGCTCCATTCGATATTTAACAAACGTCAAAACGGGATCTTGGAGTAGTGGCGCTTGAAGAGGAAATTTATTCGGCGTGTTCTAGTGTGCGTCAATCTCAGAGAAATAAATCTAAATATCTACGATCGACTTTTACGAATTTTTCAAGATATCCTCAGGCTTTGGTGCATTCATATTCAGCATTATTATACACATCGAACTTGAAACTAGATAGTTAAATATATTTCGGTCAAGAATCTCTTCAGCGAGGAAAATTTATATAGCAAAAATTCATATGCAAGAAGGTCCAAGAAAGTCCGCCTGGTTCGTCAAAGATTTCGCGGATTGCTGATGAATTCCTCAGCGGAGCATAATTCAAGGAAGATTTTGAAATGGTCGCAATATTTCGAGACGAAGCGTGCGGATAAGTACGTTTGGTAGAAACGAGAGTACGAACGTGTTGTTTCTGGCGCGTAGTGTCACGTCGATGTTACACTGAAGACGACAAGCGACACTGACGACTGGATAAAAGAAGACTTCGGACTTCGGATCGCGAGGAGGAAGTCTAGCTAAAAGACAGCTAGCATAACAATGGTCGTCAACAAGATCAACATGTCGTCGTATTCCGCGCCGTTGCGTACCTTCTTCTCGGGTCTTCACACGAAGGTAAAAAGATCTTATACAAGATGTCGTATTACATTTGTATCTATTGTATTTTATAATCGGTTTAATCCTTTTATGAAAATTATCTCCTCCTGTACTTTTAAATAATCGTAATTTAGTATTTGAGTTAATTTTTGAAGTTATAAGAAATTTTGCATATTTCTAAAACATTGCATTTTAATAATTAAAATCCTAAAATATTAATTGTTCTAATTGAAAAAAATCCGCTTACTCTATCTCTAAAATTTCGTTTATAATAAATCGTTTTTTTCATGTCCTTCCAATTCGGAAGCAATCGTGTTGACATTTTATTTTTATGAAAAAAAAAAACGATCGCGAATTGATCGCAGAATCTGAATAAAAATTAAACTCTGAGAACATCCTATGTCTTAATCGTCAATATATGAGATCCCATTACGGATCGTTAAAAATTTGTCGGGTTATAAACCGATTCACGATTCGAAACTGAATCGAATAATTAACCGTGGCTAATGTTTTTTTCAAAGCGCGATACGTACGAGTTTTTCTCTTAAAAATAACGAGGGGATGAAGCGAAGGAAATAGCAGACACGCTGCTACGGCATATTTTTCCCGATGATATTTTTGGCGCGTCGCTACATTTATGCTTGGCGAGCTGTGCAATCTTTTTTTGGTTGATGCCGAATTCAGCGAACAGCTGGTAGTAACTTATGTAATGGCGACAAACCGAGTCTCTCTCTGTTTCTGATAGTTTATTAAACTCTCGTCTTTGCAGCTGCGAAAACGTGACTTCTTTTTTTCTGTCAACGCAAACGTCACCAAGAATTACAGACATGTTGTTTTATTTATCGCGAAATTAAAACGTCAATTACATATTTTGCATGTTGATGCAAAACAATTTTTTCCTCCTGGATATACATGTTAATGCGCAAAAAAAAATCTTACGTGATTCGAAACTAGTATCTTTATACGATGCTCATAAAAGTCTAGAATACTGTATAATAAATGACCTTTATTCAGAATGTATTCTTAGAGGAAAAAATTTGCAGGATTTTTAATATTAGTCGTGTTAAATTAACTTAGCTGTTACATAATTAAGAAATAAATTTAGATAAGAAAATGATTTTTTATTAAACATTTATTTTCTCAACATTTTTTTAGCATCATTTATTAATCAAACATTTTTTGATATTTTAGCATTTAATATTTATTGAAAATTTTATTCGTATTTTATTCATGTATTCTGATATGTTTATTATCAATGTATTATAAATATTTTACTATCCATAATTTATTGAATATTTAGTTCACAAAACATATCAATTAATCGATTCAGATATTTTCTACGGCTATCAATTTGTCGATGCTGTTTGCCTTGACTCCTCGATTTATTAAAGATGTTTTATATCTCTAGCTATAAATCCATATTAATATTACTGAATTAATTGCATGATGAGGAAACAGTGGAAATTCACATATATACTAAGAGGATTACGAGATGTATCTTCAAGTATGTAATATAATTTTCTCGCGGACCGTGGCAATTTCGCGCTGTAACACTCACGCTGCAATGTTGTATTTAGGTCTCGTTATATTTAGAGTGATTTTTCCTTGTAGTAGAAAAGCATTTGTCTCATCTCGTCCGGCTTCATTAGTGTCTTTTTTATGCTCTACTATTTTTTATTTGATTTTATCGCAACACGTTGTTAATAACAATTTTATATCAATCGTTATTATTGAAATGACGATGAGGCATTGAGAAAATTTATAATAATATTATAAATATATATAAATATATTATATATGTATATGATATTTTTATTATAGAGGATATATATAACACAAGAATATATGTATATTTTAATATAAAAAATAACTGATAGTATAACGCGATTTTTTCATGGTTAGAAATTCTTAGCACACATTTAGATATTTTTTAAATCTTTTATTATATCACATAAAAAGAAAAAAAAATATCGACATTTTGCAACGTTTCTTTTAATTTGAAGATTCAGCATCCGCGAATAAGAGACTATATGCGCTTCTTTTGGATTACTTTATAGGCAGAGAGTTGCTTTAAGTATAAAATATACAAAAAAAATAGTTTCTCTTATAATATATATAATTTTTGGTAAAGAGAATTTAAAAATGTGATTAAAAATTCCGTTTTTAATTAGTTAAAAAGACACGACTAGGAATTTTTTTGGCAGGCAATTAGAAGGCGACATGGCACACGTGAAGTCGCATTGTTGAATTGAATAATAGGATAGCTCGTGGCACGAGCGGCGATCGTTCTCATTAAGCGAATGCCCCATGGCCGTTGGGATGACATTAATATCAATGTATGCAAGAGAGGAACAGAGAGCGAGGGAGGATACTGAGATGCCCGCGGCGGCGTTTCGCTCTTCCACGCACGCGAAGCGAGACCTCGAATTAGGAAAGCCGCCGTCGCGGCTCGTGTCCGAAATAGCCCGAAGGAAGCCGAGAATTTTTGTAGGCCGTGGCCGCTTCCTCCCGAGACTTACATTAATCACCCTTTTTCAGCCTGTCATACTAGTTCCCAGTCATTCATAATTTAAGTCCCGAAGGCGATAGTACAAATGCTCTATGCGTCTGTATTTATTTTCAAGATAAATTTATCCCTTCTTTTCTCCCGCTTTTGTTCAAAAAAATATTGTCTGAAGTGATATTTTTATGCTAAACACGTATAAAATTCATAAAATGTAAAAAACCCATGTAACCAAAAAATATTTATGCGATCTAAAATTATATATAATTTAATTTCAAATTTTACATGTTTTTTTTTTAAATTTATGCACAATTTATATAATTGCAAAATTTTATATAATTTATAAGGTTCATTTAATTTAAAAATTATCTAGTATCAAATTAAGATGTATTTACATATATACGGGTGTAAATTTAAAAAAGTTATCTGGTTTAAAAAATATTAAGATTTGTATGTAATACTTTGAATTTTATTTTGCACAATGTACACGACTTTCCAAATAGTTTGTCATTCAAATAATTACGCAAATTTTTCTTTCTTTACAATCGGCATATAAATTCAAATCCTGCTCCGATTTCATTCAGTCGTCGGATTAATCGATGAACCGCGCCGGGCCGACTTTTTCTTATCGAGTCTGGAGAAAGAACAGAGCATTCTCGAGGACGCGCGAAGGAGCGCTGTAAAAGCGACTCCGGTATAAGAGAAGCATAAAAGATTCATTTTGCTGAAGAGGTGACCCCACCGACCCGGCATCCGCTCTCTGTAGGCGGCACTCTCGGATCTTTTCTCTTTGCACTCTTTCTCTCTCTCTCTCTCTTTCATTCTCTGATTCTCTTCGTTCTCTGTCTTTGTCCAAAAGCGCTAACTACACTCGCGCATCTGTGAAAATTTTAATACTATTAAAGTATTGGGAAGAATATAAGAATATCCAATTATTATGAAATTAAATTAAGTTGAATTAAGTTAATTTTTATCTCGTTTTAATTATTTATTATAAAATTACTTTGTATATGAAATTTTAGTTATTATTTTTTGCATATAAAGCTAAATTTTTGCTCATTATAATCAATTTTCGTGATGCGAAATTTGTTCTAATTAAAATTAAAAGTAACAAATATAATTTTTGTTTTTTATTTTAAAAAAAAGTTGATAATATTGAATTATTAGAAAATTGTTACATGCTTTGCAATTGGTGCTTTTAAATTTTCTTTTGATTACGACTCTATCTTTATGCGAGAGTCTTTTCCTTCATTCTGTATTCTCGAAGTGAGCATGTGTAAAACAAGAAATTGACGGAGGTAGTAATCTCGTTAAGACAGTTCAAACAGTTGGTCATTAAGTATAACTCGCGCTAAATTGTCGAGAGTTGGGAGACGAAGTGCTGTTTTTTCGTACATAACGGTATTTTCGAAGAAAACATTTTATATATTTTTTAACCATGTCTTTCTGATCGTGATCTTCGTTTTAATAGGAATTTAGAATTGTTTTTTACCACATAATCAATTTGTTTTATAAAATATAGGTCGATTATTTATCAACCTATACAATTTTATCTCTTTATAGATTATTGTAGTTACAGTGAGTGATGAATTTTCAGCTTATTTGAGTGATTATTAACGTAGACTTAACGCTATGATTAATATCATGCAACGTAAAAATTAAAGATCATTAATATGATGAATTTACAGCATGATTAGTACAAAATTTATTCGAAAACTTTAGAAATTATTTAGGAAGAAGACTATTTAGCTTATAATTTTCTTTCTGTTGATTCTTATGATTACATAATATAATTAATGTATATACATAGATATTATAATAAAAATTGCAAATACAGAAATTAATTGTTAAATAGACAACTACAATATGAGCTTCTAAGTGATTTCGATAGAAGTACGACGGAAATATCATATTACAGGCAGTCACTCTTTAATTTTTTATTACTTTATTTGTCATTGGAAAGGATATATCAATAATACATTGAAATCACTTCCGGGAATCTAATTGTTTTCTATTAAGATTAATAAGCTTTCGCGTATCAAATCGGAAGCAGGATGCGCTTAACTTATGGCTGTAGTATGAAATAATAATCGACGACACGAGTAAGAGATTGATTTGTGTAACATACAACACTTAAAGATTATAGTTGTTGCGATGAATTCTTGATCGACTCAAATGATCGTCCGCACAAACTTATGATTATGGTTGCTTGAAAACTAAATTAGAGCAATAATGTAATAACTCAAGAAACTTTCAAAAATTCTTATTTAGAAATCTTTTATTTCACAAATATACTAAACTGCAACTTCTTAAAATACCATAAATAATCTGATATTTGGAGAAAACGAAAATAATATTAGAAAGCTGAAATCTTTCCAAACTATATGGAGGCTAGCAAGAATGATCGATAGACCATAGATAGTGTTCTAAGATTAGTATGTTTTTTTTTTCCTTGTAGTCTTCATTAATATTTATGTAAACGGTTGCGTTGATATAGATGTAATATTTTAAAATT